GGGGGAGAGGCGTGTATTGTTGGCGTGCAGCGTAAGGGTCGGTGCTCCAGCCAATGGCGCAGCTGGTTGCTCGACTACTGCGCCGTGTTTGTTGGTTCAGCAAAGCCGCAGGTCAGACAGGCCCAGATAGTGGCTTGTCTGTGACCTGCATCAATTCAAGCATTGTTTGACCCCTAAAACCAACTGCAGAGGCACCAAACCGCACGGAAATTGCTATCTCCTGCCAGCTGCCAGCTGGCCGGCGCGCACCACCAGGGGGAAGACGTCCAGCAGCAGCAGCAGCGCGTTGCGGCGGACGGCGGCGTTGGCCGCGGACAGCGCCCTGGACGGTGGCGGCAGGGCGAAGCAATGGGGCTTTGGGCCGGTGCAGGCTAGCGCCTCGTGACAGTCCATCAAGACACATCTGAAGCGTGTGAACAGCCAGGAATAATCACGCCAACCAACAGCTGCATGCAAACTAGCACACTCCCTCACACGCCCACACAAACGCGTGCTTGCACGCTCACTCGCATGCACGCGCAAACACGTACACACACGCGATCGCGCAGGTGCAAACACACACACACACACACACACACACACACACACACGCACACACACACACTCTCCCTCTCTGTGATGCGCGCCATCATTCACTCACATGAAAACACAGCAAACCGTCCCGCCCACCTGAACAGCACTGGCTCGTACAGGCGCACCAGCGCGCTGTCCAGCGCCCCGCTGCCGCCCCCCGCCGGCCCCAGCCTCTTGGCCTCGTGCAGCTGGTGCAGCACCACCAGGATGCTGGAGGCCAGCCCCTTGGACGACGCGTGGAGGCACGCCTTGGCAAAGCCCTGCAGGAGGGCCGGCAGCAGTGAAGAAACTTGATGTTTCAGCTTGGAAAGCAACGCTTCGCCTGCCGGAGCAGACGCGCCAGCCTGCAGCCCGCTTCATCCATGCGGTTTCGTCGCGTTATTGAAGCTTGACACGCTTCAAAAGCTTCAGCATGGCCAAGGGTCTCTTGAGTTGATATGGTGGCGGTGTGCCAGCGGGGGCGCAATCCGGACGGGTGCGCATGCCGCGGGCGCACCTGAATGAGGGTGGCCTCGATTGCGGCGCTGCAAGGCCCCGTGGCCTCCCTCCAGCCGCGCAGGATGATCTCGCCCACAGCCTCCAGGAGCCACTGCTTGCCGGTCACGACCTGGCGGGGGGCGGGAAACAGGTCAAGGCAGGCTTCGTCAGGCGCCGTGGATGACCGCTCGGGCGCAGGCGCAGGGCGCAGGGCTTGCACATGCTCGCCCACTGGGGGGGCTGCGGCGGGGAGGCACCTCCGCTGCCGGGCAGGGCTTGCTCATGCTCGCTCACTCAGGGTTGCGGCGAGACGGCACCCTCGCAGCCGAGCATGTGTGCTCTTGTGTCGCGGTGCGTCCCCAATTCCATTCTCACACGCAGCACCTTGCAGAAATGCCGTGAGTTCAAACACCTGGCCCAAAAATCACACGCAACTGCCGAGCCATGCAATCCTCCAAGCCGCGCAATCCCATCAGCTGCGCCGCCCCGTCGGCCTCGAACCCCCCTAGGCAGCGCCGCACCATGTTGCGCATGACGGAGGCCACCTCCGCCACCAGGCTCGGGTGCAGCGTCAGGACGTGCGCCAGGAAGCGCCGCCCCTCCGGGCGCCGCAGGAACAGGGAGCTCTTGGCGGCCTGCAGCAGCAGGCGCTTCATGTCTGCGCACGCGCGCGTGCGAACGCGTCGAGGGGGAGGGCGAGCGCGTTGGTCAGCAGTTTCAACTTGAGCCGACATATAGGGAGGGCACCCCAAGGTTGATGCGCAGCGCGCTATGAGCCGGAAGTTGAGGCACCATTGCAGGCGAGCTCACCGTCGATCGACTCGTCCTCAAAATCCAGCAGGCCCAGGGCGTGCCGCATGTCAAGGCAGGGCTTCACGCTGCACGCGCGCCCCTTGGTGTCCGTCAGGGCGCGGATCTGCGGCGCAACGGATGTCTCATAGTTCACGAATCAGCATGCAAGTGCACGGCAGAGCTTCCAACGGCAGTCGCACGTGCGGCCGGGCTCTTTGGTGCGGCGCTCATTAAGCAGCAAAGCCACGCCGCCGCTGTTTGCAGAGTGCAGGAGCGCGGGAGGCGCATGAGCAACAGGTGGGGCTTCCTCGTCCCTGCAAATCCCCCCTTGCTGTATCTAGGTCCCTCAGCAGTCCCTGGGGCCCGTTGCCCCTGCTCCCCCCCCCCAAACCCGCCGGTCCACCAGAAGGAAGGGGAGCGTCTGGGAGAGCAGCTCCTCCTTGTCCGGGCCCCCCACAGCCCACCACGCACAGCAGAGCCGCGCGACGGCGTCCTGCACGGCTGGGCACAGCTCCATCGCCTGCGGGGGCACCACAGTCAAGGGAGCATTTTACCAGTGCAGGTAACTTTGCTTTCATCTCTTGATAATCTTGGGTTTTTAGAAAGGGTCAGTGGGGGTAGGTTTGCGCAAATCACCACCCACTCAGGGCGCGGTGCGGCGCTGGTGGCAGTCGCTCCATCTGGCGCCCTGTGGCGTTCCGCCGCTGGCAGGTCAACCATCCCGCTGCCCTTCCGCACATGCGTCTGCTGTGCAGCCGAGAGCACCCGGCTATGCTGCAAATGTGCGCACCAGTAGCGCGTGCGTATGCAGCAGCTGAGCCGCCTCGGCCAGCGCCGCAGGCGCAGACTCGCGGGTCACGGCCAGGACTTCGTAGGCCAGCAGGGCCGCCAGGCGCAGCGCGTCAAACGCCAGTGACTGCGCGTTTCGGCAGCAGGTGGTGGCGTAGAGTGGCACCGCACTTGCAGTGAAGGGGTGGTGCATCGGTGTGTAGCGGTGGATTGTGCCGGTTGGTGGTTTGTCCCCCTGCTGCTGCATACTTTGCCACTGCTGCGCCTGGTGCCAGCTGGGATGCTATTGACGCTGTGGCTGAAGCACCTCAACGTCATCGGCAGCGCCGGGTTGCACTCGTTGAGCTCACCATTGACTGCGTTGGGTCCGCATCCTCGCCCTGCGCCTCTGCCTCTGCCAGGGCCGTCTGCAGCAGCTGCAGGGCCTCCTCCGCCTGCAGGTATTTGCGCACAGGGATAGCCGCAAAACCTCCGATCCACTATCACCGTATCCACCACCGCGTCCCTCCAACATCACACGCACAGGACGCTTTACAGGACACAACACAGGACGAAGCGTTGTTGAGGTCGTGAGGCGTCGCTGCAGCGCAGCCCGAAGCAGATGCGCTCATGTCACCTGGTGCCGAATACCCTCTGATACGGCTGCCAGCTTTGCACGCGTGGCGGCCTGCAGCCCTTCCTTGACCTCAAGTGCGGCCTGGGAGAAGCGCGCAGTGCCGCACATGGTGAACACGCGTCAGCGTGGTGCAGCTCAGCACAGTCCCTCTGCATAGAGAATCTATCACGGTACTCACATGCTTGCCATAGGCCTTAACAAACGCCTGCGTGTCGAGCTCCTTCAGGCCCTCCGAATCGGTGTTGATTAGGGATGATCCGTTCATCCTTGTCACTCACTTAGACCAAGCTCTGGCCTGTCCACTTATAACAATAACACAGCTGAGCACTGCATTGCGCTCACGATCAACGATCTAAGCAGCTGTCGTCGTTCTTGACAATAATTTGGGCTGTGGAAATTTCAAAATTGATACAGGATGTCCTGCACTGCCAGGATGAAAGGGCTGCGTGGCTCGGGACATCTTGAAGCTTTGAACTGCGACAAATGCCACACACACCGGCCGCAGGGGCGCGTGTGCGGCTCTGCATCGCATTAATGCTAGCCATAAACACTTGATCGATCGCGTGCTGATGGCAGGCGCGGAGGCCACGACCGGGCAGCTCGGAGCTTGGCCGCGCTGAGCCCCGTGTAGCACGCTTTTGAGCATCAACATACACGCATAAATTGCAAAAATCCCTTTTCTTCACAAACAAAACGACCAAGGACCGCACGTCGGTCGCGCCGCGTTCATTGTACAGGGGGGGGCGCATGGGGCGGTCGCGCAGCAAAAAACTGGGGTGCCCGCGTTCTGAAGATCCTGAAGGAGACCCCCCTTGTGTTGAATCTTGCGCAGGGACGCACTGAAATCATTTTGAAGCTCTTTATTTTTACCATAGAGGCTGTTCAATGGCAGGGCGCAACGCAGCACGCGCTGCGCCATGCCGCTGGCCAGCAGCATGCAGCGGGCTCGAAGGCCAGGAACGCGCTGCACCCACCCTCCCTGGCGGACTAAACAGGCAGTCCATGACGTACGGGCAAGACGCGGCCCCTGCCGAGGCACGGCCCCATGGCATGGGCGTTGAGGGCCCTGGTGTGTGCGCAAGGGGGTGGATGGAGGGAGGCTGCCCCGAGGCATGGTGGACAGTCTCATGTCCATTGTTGTTTGAAATCTTTGGGGGCGTTTGCGTAGGCGGCCGCAGGAGGCTCCAGCGTTATTGCCCGAGGCGGCGGGCCGGCGCGCAGTAGGATGGTCTCCCCCAGTGTTCATCAGCGCAACCACGTGTTTCCAAGGATAGGGCAGGATTCTCTCGCGGCCGCCCGCTTCTGGAGCCACACAGCGCAGGCGATCATCTACATACGGTATATGTGTGTGGCCTTGAACGATACTTCCAGTGTGCAGCTTATATATACTGTACAATGTCCATGGTGAAACAACGCTGGCAATGTGGTGACGCACCCTGGAGCAAGGAGTGTACCGGAAAGCGTAGCAGACGGCGTGCAGCTGCTGTCATGCTTACACCGCACCTACGTAGGCCCTCGGCGTACATGGTGTCCCAGCCCAGC